ATCTCAATAGGATCCAGAAGCTTTGTGAAAAGCCAATCATTGCTGCCCAATCTCCGGATCTGAGAATAGACGATCCTTCGAATGAGTCTGAAACGCAGGACTGGTTAAGAAAGTTGGATGACATGCAAAATGCTCTTCTTGCTATTGGGAGTCTTCTGCAAACGATGTCTGGGTCCCAGACGGAACGAGACCTTTGTCCAGAGGATTTGATTGAAGCCATACCGAATGTTTTTAACCAAGTCTTTGATCACTGTATCATCCCGGCTGTCCAGGCACGTCCTGGAGGCAAGGATGCGAAGTATTTTGAATTCTTCTCTGTTCAGAAACGGGTTCTTGGTTCCTTAATCCAGCAAAGCAAAAAAGTACTTGCTCTTTTTGCAGATTTCCTCTCACGGATCGACGTCTCAGAAGGAACTGTCACCGCCACGGAGTTCTTCGCAGCTAAGTTAATCTTCGTCGAGAACTCTCACACGGAAAAGGACTCAACTGTCGGTGTTCAAAAGTTTGAGTCGGTTCGACGTGGAGCCATGGATGTACTGGCCAAAATCTTCTCCAAGTATCCCGCCCAGCGCCCATACATCCTGGATGAAATCCTTGTATCACTTGAAAAGCTTCCATCTACTCGGCAGAGTGCCAGGCAGTTCAAGCTTGCCGACGGCAAAAATATCCAGCTTCTGACTGCATTGGTCATGCAACTGGTCCAGACGACTGCTTTGGACGTTCCCAACTCCAGGGCGTCTCGAATGAGGGGCAAGCCACCTGGATCGGCGGAAGACGAGGACGATGACGAAGTGCTTGGCGATAGCCAGGCAGTGGATGACGACCAGTCGAGCATGTCCATGGAACAGCTTGCGACCAAGGTCAACCGCTTACATGATAACGCAGTACGCAGTGCCCAGTACATTGTTAAATTCATCGTCCAACGGGCGATGACATCCACCAAGACCGGTGATCAGCCTTATCGGAATATTTTCGACCTGTTTACCGAAGATTTGATCAGCGTCCTAGGCTCCACAGATTGGCCGGCTGCGGAATTGCTGCTTCGTATTATGGCCTCTCACATGGTTGGTATCGCCGAACAGGACAAGAGTTCTGCGACAGCGAAAAGCATGGCTCTTGAGCTTCTGGGATGGATGGGCTCTGCCATCTCTGATCTTATAGTGACTGCTCAGCATCTGCTACCTGCCATGGAGGAGTCTGATAGCGATCTCAGCGAATCTCTCAAACAGTTGTTCGAAGAGTATTCGAGCCGTGCTTTGCATCCGCAAGACCTCGTTGTCGCAGAAGGCCCTTACCGGATGACGCTCGAGTATTTCATTCAAGACCGCAGTGTAGACAACTGGCAGCTTGCTAGTGCTCGCGGGTTCTATCTTACGCAGTGGTCTAAAACCTTCTGTTCCGTTTACTATAACGCTGAAGACAAGGACGAAGTCATGTACGACGACGCGACCGAAGACCTGGTTTCACTCTTCTCCAATCTCTTCTCTGACCCGTTATGGCTCGAGACGCACAGGTGAGTACATCCTGTTGAGTCCCACAGCACCTTACTGATTCTTTTCCTAGGCAATTCAACACTGTGCCTACGGCGCATGGCAAGTTTGCATACATCCTGACTGTCTTGAACTCAGGGTTCTGCAAGGCTTTCGACACTATTCTCAAAGTTTTGCTCAACTCGATTGCGAGTGACCAGGCCAAAGTTCGGAGTCGTAGTTTGAAGAGTGTAATATACATGCTCGAGAAGGATCCAAGTCTTCTCGATAGAGATGCTTCAGTCATGCGAGTAATTCTCCGCTGTGCTACTGACGCATCTCCCATGGTCCGCGATTCCGCATTGTCTTTGATCGCGAAATGCATTGCATTGAAGCCGAAGTTGGAAGAGGACGGTTGCCGGGCTATCTTGACATGCGCCGCTGATCCGACTGCCGGTGTACGGAAGCGCTGCATCGGTTTGCTGAAGGATATCTACCTTAATACATCGCGTACTGAGTTGAAGCTTGCGATAATGGATAGCTTTCTCCAACGTACGGGCGACTTGGAAGATAGCGTGGCAACTTTGGCGCGACAGACATTCGAGGAGATTTGGCTCACTCCCTTCCACGGACTCATAGATTCTGCCCAGGATGGTCCTAAACTCAAGGTCGGTCTCGATGAGAGGGTGACACTCATCGTCAGCCTGGTTCAGCGAAGCGAAACAGCGCTCGACACCTTGAACAACTGTCTTAAAAAGGTTCTATCCGAAACCTCCAAGACAGCTTCTCTGAACTTCAAAGTATGCAAGTCAATGGTCTCTACAATGTTCGAGAAGCTGGTTGAAGGTACCGAATCGACGAAAGAATTCCAGCAAGCACTTTTGCAAACTATCACCGTTTTTGCGAAGGCCAATGCAAAGTTGTTCCGGCCTGACCAGCTGGAGACTTTGCATCCTTACATTGGACACTTGGCCACGGCCGAGGATCTCTTCCTTTTCCGCTCGGTGGTAGTCATCTACCGATGCGTATTGCCATATCTGTCGTCCGCCCACAATACTCTGTTGAGAGAGGTCCAAAACGACCTTTTTAAGAGCGTTGCTAAGCTTGCTCGCTCAGAGCTGAATGAAGTGATGGCGTGCCTCTGGACTATCAACGGAGTCCTGCACAATACTGACCGATTGGTGAAACTAACCATTTCCGTGCTGAAACCGATACAGCACTATAAAAACATCGATCTTTCTGATAGTGCAAACGCGGCAGTCTTAGCCAGAGCCAAAAGCTACATCCGTATTGCAGGCTGTGTTGGCAGACACTGCGATCTTGAAAAGTACGAGCCGCATTTTAAGAATGCTTTCCCATCGTGGGGCGGCGGGTCAGTGGCCGGTTTAATGGTTGATGCCATTATACCCTTCACTGTTCCGAAACAACCACTTGAGCTGAGAGTCATGTCATTGGAGAGTTTGGGATCAATTTGCCAGTCCTGGCCAGGCCAGTTCAGTCGTGATAACCCAAGGCAGATTCTGTCGATGGTATTTAAGGAAGACAATCCTAGTCTGCAGAACATTGTGCTGAGGTCATTCTCGGACTTTTTCGCAATGCATGAAGGCAAGGCTGAGAAGACTGTGTTATCTGCTGCTGAGATCGCCGAGCAGGAAGGCGCCACACGACTAGGAGGGTCTTTGAAGGCTAGCGACAACGATGGTGCCGCTGCGTTGATTGCCCAGCACTTCTTGCGGAGCATGCTTCGGGTCGCACAATCGCGGCAAGACTCGTACGCTCTGACTGCCATCGAGCTGATTGCCAGTATCAACCGTCAAGGATTGGTGCACCCTAAGGAATGTGCTGGCGTTCTTGTCTCGTTGGAGACATCAACTGTTCCAGCAATTGCGAAAGTTGCGTTTGACACTCACAAGATGCTTCACCAGCAGTACGAGTCGATGTTCGAAAGAGAATACATGCGTGCTGTTCAGGAGGCTTTCTACTACCAGCGCGACGTGGTGGGGGATCCCACTGGTGCATCAAGCCGCCCATACATCGCCAAACTTGCGCCCCTGTTTGATATCATCAAAATCAGCAACAGTCGCTATCAGAGAAAGTTTCTCTCGAATTTGTGCTCGAAAGTCGACTTTGAACTGAAAAAGCTTGACGCCACCGGCGATCCGCCCGAGCATCTCTTACTATCGCGTTTTGTAGCGCAGAACCTCGCGTTTCTCGATTACAACCAACTTGCCGAACTCGTACCGACAATCGGCTGCATGGAACGCATTGTCTCTGCAACTGGGACAGTTGTCGCCCACTCGATCGAAACCGACATCTTTATTGCTAAGACGGAGCCTACTACCGTAGAGGGAATGCCTGCTCCTGCAACGGAGGGTTTAGAAAATTTGGCACCCCTGCAGCAGTATAACCCAGCCACCCTGCGGCTTTTGGCTACCGCAGCTGCATCCCTTTCCATGCTCTGGGAAGCCCGAACCTATCTCCGGCGCTTGTACGGTGTCACAGCGAATGCACGCGTCAAAGAGGCCAAAGCTGCATCGAAAGAGCTCAGCAAGTCAGCCACGAAGGTGCATGGTGTGACGGGTGACAAGTTCTGGGATGCTATCGCTCGGAATATGAACGCCTTGAGCAGCGAGCAGAGCATGATCGACAAGTGCCGCGAGTTTGCGACTTTGCTTAACATCGACGACGAATTCAAGGCTGGAGGCGATGAAGATGCCGAGGGAGACAATCTGGACGCGGCCACCGACATGGATGACCCGGCAGCCGGTTGGGGCACAGCTGGGGGACCCCGTCCGGGGAAGCGAAAGAACTCTATGTCCGGGCAGAGTCCTGTCAAGCGCCCCCGCGGCCGAAAGCCTGGATCTGGCAAGAAACGGGCCAGTACGGAGCCAGGAGGAGAAGAGTCGGACAGGAATTAGAAGAGGTGCCGGGACCGTTGATCGGGATGGCACCATGACACGTGTATTTTTGGCTGTCTATTATCTATTTATCTATGAAAGAGGATGCATTTATGGGATCGGAACTGGCGTTCGGAATGCCGACGAGGTATTACTTACAACGGTGGGTGGGAGGCGCACTGACATTATTATTCCTTTTCTTTCCTATGTGTGACGATATGACCATATCCTTCAATACCATATGCCTAGTAACTAGATGAATATAAATAAACAAACAATTGAGAACGATCAATCAATAGATGCGTGCGTGAGTCGACTCACGTATAACATTTCCGATCGAGCAAAGGGTGCCAAGCCGGGCCCTGCAGGCCGAGCGGGTCCAAGTGGGCTTGGCCAGATGACGTCGAGGTGCAGTGGTTTCGAAGTGTTGTTCTTCCTCCTTGAATCTTCCCTCTTCCTCTCGCAGTCGGTGTGTCTCTTTCGCTGTTCTCTTACACTGTCACTTTGGTGTCATCGTTCGTTGTCACTTTCCTCCTTTCCTCTTCCCCGTGCCATTGGGTCTCTTCGCGGGTCGATTATCTCCAACCTGGCCCCTTCGCAGTGACCGCTCGTTCCTCCTGCCAGCTTAGACGCCATGAGCGCGGCGCTGCTCCGGAGTCGTCCGGACCCCCATGCCCTGAAAAGAATCGCCCTTTTATCACGTCGGTATCAGTCCTCGAAGTCTCCAGCATCAGCAGGCCTCGCGGCATCCCGAACCCGGTTACCCCATCGCACTGCGACAGCTCAATGCTTGGCGTCGCGTGCCTTTTTCAACTCCCAATACTCCGTCCGGCATAATTCTACAACCCCTGAAGCCAGCGAACCTACGCGGAGATCCTCCTTCCGCAATGCCGTCTTCAAGTCCTTTGCCTATTGCGGCTTCTTCATTGTCATGAGCGGTGCTGCCGTCGTGGCGTTCTTCATCTACGATGCAACCACTTACCGCGAAAACTCGAGTGCGGAGGACATCCCCGTTTCGGAATTGGCGCTGAATCCCCGGCGCGGTGGACCTAAGAACCTCCCCATTGCGGAGGTCTTGCTTGGAGACAGTGATTCAGAGGCTAAGCTGGAGCAGAAGGACAAGCCCCGCCTGGTCATCCTGGGTACGGGTTGGGGTAGCATCGCGCTTCTGAAACATCTCAACCCCGGCGACTACCATGTCACGGTCGTGTCCCCTACCAACTACTTCCTGTTCACTCCGATGCTGCCGTCTGCGACGGTGGGAACTTTGGGTTTGAGGTCGCTTGTCGAGCCTGTTCGTCGGATCGTGCAGCGGGTGCATGGCCATTTCCTCAAGGGAGAGGCTCAGGACGTTGACTTTTCCGAGAAGTTGGTCGAGGTATCTCAACTCGATGCCAATGGCCAGGAGCAGAGGTTCTATCTGCCTTATGATAAGCTAGTCATCGGTGTCGGTACGTTCGAAACTTCCCTACCCTCTGCCGGACTAATATTCCGTGAAACTAATTCTCCGACTCTATAGGTTGTGTAACCAACCCCCACGGCGTTAAGGGACTGGACAACTGCCACTTCCTGAAGTCGATCGATGATGCCCGGAAGATTAAGAATAAGGTTTTGGAGAACATGGAGCTTGCCTGCCTGCCTACGACCAGTGACGAGGAGCGTAAGCGACTTTTGTCCTTCGTTGTCTGCGGTGGCGGCCCGACTGGCGTTGAGTTCGCTGCGGAGCTGTTCGATCTGCTCAACGAGGACCTTCTTTACTCCTTCCCTAAGATCCTTCGGAATGAGATTTCCGTGCACATCATCCAGAGCCGTAGTCACATTCTAAACACCTACGACGAAGCGCTCTCTCGCTATGCTGAGGTCAGCCCAGGGTCCCCATTCGTCGCATCCCAGAAGTTCTCATAACTGACTGACCGCACAGTCCCGTTTCGCTCGCGACCACGTCGACGTCTTGACGAACGCCAGAGTGGCGGAGGTCCGCGACGACCGAGTCCTCTTCACGCAAGAGGAAGACGGTAAGCGCATCCTGAAGGAGATCCCCATGGGCTTCTGCCTGTGGTCCACTGGTGTCGGTACGTAAATCCCACCATCCAACCTATCCAACAGAAACACTCACACCCCTAACCAGCCCGCGCCGATCTCTGCAAGCGCCTCTCCGACAAGCTTGAATCCCAAAACAACAAGCATGCCCTCGAAACAGACTCCCACCTTCGTCTCATCGGCGCGCCCCTCGGCGATGTCTACGCAATTGGCGACTGCTCTACCGTCCAGAACAATCTCGCCGGCAACATCATGTCCTTCCTGCGCACCATCGCCTGGGAGAAGGGCAAGGACCCCGAGAAGCTGCACCTGACCTTCCGCGAATGGCGCGAAGTAGCAACCCGCATCCGCAAGCGTTTCCCTCAAGCCTCGAACTACCTCCGCCGCCTTGACAAGCTCTTCGAGCAATACGACAAGGACCAGTCCGGTACGCTTGAGTTTGGCGAACTCTCTGAGCTCCTGCATCAAATCGACACGAAGCTCACTTCCCTGCCTGCTACCGCGCAGCGCGCAAACCAGCAGGGCGAGTACCTGGGCCGTAAGCTGACCAAGATTGCGGCAGCGCTGCCGGGTATGCAGGCCAACCAGATCGACTATGGAGATCTGGATGAGGCGTGCTACAAGGCTTTCAAGTACAAGCACTTGGGAAGTTTGGCGTACATCAGCAATGCTGCTATCTTTGACTTTGGCGGTTTGAACTTTAGCGGTGGTGTCCTGGCGATGTACCTCTGGCGTAGTGTTTACTTTGCCGAGAGCGTTAGCTTCAGAACGAGGTGTATGCTGGCCATGGATTGGGCCAAACGGTCGTTGTTTGGGAGAGGTAAGTTTCTGTGTTCCGATTCCACCCTTTTATTTTGTTTTACAGGATCAATTTGCTAATGGGTTGCTTTAGATCTCATGAGCTTTTAAAGTGCTTTTTTTTTCTTTTCTCTCTCTTTGCCACCTTTAGCTGTGAATGTGCATTTGGTTTCCTGATCGATTGCTGTCACCAGACTGGGAGCCGTACATTATCGTGACCTGCAGTCACCACACTACCACCACTTCTATATCTACTACTTATGCCCTATGAACTACTACTACGTAAATAGTCGAATATTTCTTCCTCGTTTCTCTCTACTATTGCATAGTCCTCAAGCCTATCTGGATGTAGTCGGAGATGACATGCTGCCACCATAGCAGAGTAGTATGATAACAGTGGTACATCTCAGGCATACAATATGCACATGAGACAACGGAGGTATAGCATCAACCATCTTTCATGTGTTCCAGCGGGGGTACGCTTCCACAGTCATAGACCACTGATTGATGTTTCTTCTTACTCGCTCTTTGTTACTTCTCTAGGCTATCTACTCACCCGCTAAGGTGGTGATTTTAATCCAAATCACTCAGACCCCGAAGGGATTCCATTTCTTATCTCCGAGTTTTACCCCAAATAATACACTCATCTTGAACATCTGCTAAGCGTATTGAATGGAGTGTCAGCTAGTATATCATAATAGTATCACCCACTTGGCTGAGAATGATACTAGTAACTTCCTGCCTATCCCAATAAGGGCAATTCCCTCGTGATCCACTTCTATATACATCCGCTGCGTTACCGCTGACTTTCTAGCTAACAGCAGCCCAATGTGATGGTACTCTTCCCCACTGTGTAAACACTATTTCAGAAAATGAAACTTGACCATATAGCAGCCCTTCTCCACCGGTTACCCCTTCTATGGATGCATTTTTCAGAGTTCCAAGCCATAACTACTAGTTATTATGCATGCTCACCATCGGAGCCCCAATTACACAAGAGGGTTTTCGCCTGCAGAAAACATGTTACATATATAAAAGTTTGACATTCCAGAATAAGCCGCGTTTGTGGCTCTGAAAAAGCAAAGCTATAAGAACATCTGTCTGTCTCCACGCAAGAATGCAATAGAAAGTCCGGGGTCCACGGAGCCGTCCCTTACTGTCAGAATACCGCTGTGTTTTCTACTCCAGATTTCCTTGCTTTCCCAATGACCCCTCAATGTTTCTGATCGCAGATGGGTTAGCCCTATTATTATAGATAGTTATTAACACAGCCAATAATCAGCTATGCTACCAACTTTCTTAGTAATTCTAATCCAGTTTACATTAGAAAGACAGAGATACTATTGCTGACATGATGCATCAGCCCATGACTGATTCATAGCCTGAATAACCTGGTTACTACAGTCCGAAAAGAATTGTTCTGCAGAGAAAACAGAATTACTTTGCTTGATAGTGCGAAAGGGGTAAAAGCAGACCGAAAATGCGGGGCTGCAGCACCCCAGCTTCTCCCCCAAACATACACTCCATTCCTTAGTCCTCAGGACAAGAAGTAAATATTGAGACATTCGCTGTAGCCAGACAGGCATCGTCTGATCCTTCGCCACCTCTTCTTCCTGCGTGGCCTCAGACCACCATCTTCCAACCAACCACCAACCATCCTCTAGAGATCAGATATATCGAATACACATACGTTTCCCGCCACCGTCTTGACAGTAAATTATTGCATAATCAATCGTCATCTACTCTATATCATTTGCCTCGTCTCAACTGAATCAATGTTGTTGATGATATGAGTCGCAGCTGAGCTTGATACGTAGACAGGGGTTAGTAGGGTTAGTATGTCGGTCTGACCAGACTATATCAGCCCGCCACAGACTCTGCAGGAGGTTTCGTTTCTTTTCTTGTCTTTCTAATACAATATAACTCCTACTACAGACTGTTATTGTTAGAGGGAGCACCAGATCCTGATCCTGTGACTATAGCATGAATTGCATATTTGTCATCTACGGTTAACAATCACCATAGATCAGAGAGGTTCAATGTATCACGCTATTAAGTACTATACTAAGTATCTGCTATAACTGGAATTTAAAAGAAAATGAACAGAATTGCGGATGCGGTTTCTCACAGTATGGTATCTGCCTAGTAGTACTTAGGGCGCATGTATCTGTCCGTTTCAGTTTTCCTTTCTCTCTTTTTAGATTATTTACTGGCTGCTTTTGTCAAATCTTCTGAGTGAGTAGACCAACACTCATGAACCGCAGGGGTTGGGATCATGCACTTATCTCTAGTAGAGTAGTCGTAGTTACATTGGAGATGGATCTCCTTACCTTGCTGAAGTACACATTCCTTTTGCTCCATTCCATCTCATGCCCTGTAGTAATGCTCGATAATGAGTCCTTTATTCTCTAGGTCGAGGCGGAAAGATCGGAGGTATAGGGTGAGGAAGAAGACGAGGAAGAGGAGGAGAATGGTTGTAGAGGGCGGAGGATTCGGTGAAGTGGCAACCGACTACAGTGGAATATATCAAAGTTCTCTCTGATTATTATTCCATTGGTTTCGCTTATCACCAATCGCTTAAAGCCTGATGGCCAAGCTTCTCTAGTGGCTTGGCCCTGTTCCAGGGCTGACGGCCAATGCTAACTTCTACCACCTTTACTAAGTTAGTATTTCTCTTGGAATCCCTGCAATGCAAATACTACTGTTATAGATGAATGTGTGACCCATTTTTAGCCTAATGTACATTATTTCGTCAGGTAAGCATGTCTGTTGGGGTAGGGTTGGGTTTGGACGACTCTCAGATCTTTTCAATGTTAACTTAACAGGGGTCACCTCCTAGTTACTTACTAGAAATGCGTCCATAACCCCCTGCAGGACAAACAGGTTACTCAACTCCCCACCCCCCAAGATATTACTTATTTACATGGGACCGGGCGGAACCAAATGGGTGAATAAGCAAATCCAAAATTAATACATATCCAATCCTAGCAGAGAAGGAATTAAATTCCACAGGTCCGCGGCGGATGGTTGAGCCCTCCCCCTTATGAGATAAAAAGGACTCCTACTCTCAGCATTCCTTCTCTGCAACAGTGCATTGTGTTCCTGTCTACTGCATACTCCCCACTTTGTTGATTGCTCCCTTGGTAGTATTATTGGTTCAGAGCCTACCTTGATACACTCCATTTGCAGCCGAATGTAGACAAAGATCATGCTCTGTGGTACGAATGTATATGTGTGGAGCGAGCCACAGGCTCTGCAGGATGCATCTACAATATAGTAATTAACTGGCGCTAGGACTGGCTAAGTAGTCAGTCTTTGGTTTTCAATCATCATGGACAGTTGTTTGAGATGCGTGCTCTGGTTATCGGCGGCTAGATTGATTGGCAGTTCCCAGTCCATATGTGAATAAATACTTCGCTCAGCTATTACATGAACTACAATTACTCCTCTCATTGCCATAGGCCTCTTGCGATGACATTACATTTTTTGGCCCAATGCACACAGTGAGCCAGTGAAGGGAGACAGGAATGCAGTTGGGGACTAGTTCGATATCCTTTTCCTGTAATATGTAAAGTGCAACTAACGCTCACAGAGCATGCGTGCATGTTCGCATCTTTGATTTCCTACCAATCAATGGGTTTTTTTTGGGGTTGTTGTGGTGGTTGATCAGCGATATATTTGACAAGTATTGGTACTAACAATAATCACGATAATGGATTATCTCCTTTTTAGCTATACTGCAGCCAGGTACATAATTTCTCTTAAGTTTCATTATTAACCTGACAGAAGGTATAACAACTGCTATTAATCTGACCTGATCCGGCTATTAGCCACTCTAGCCGCAGGCGTCCTGGCAAGAATACCCTGGCTATGCTGAATTCGGGTAATCCCTTTGATCAATCAATCAAATAAATGCAAAAGACATCATACGCTGCTTTAATTGGCTCCTTCTTGAGCTTTAGTACTGATATACTGAAGGAATAAACCTTATTCCCCTAGTTGTGTGAAACCGTGGCTAAGACCTTACAGGCCCTAACCCCCAGCAACGACCCCCGACAAGTCCACGCAAAGCCATACTACAACTACAACACCGGGCTCATTCCCCAAGCAGTCCTAAAGCATAGAGTACACCTCCTCGCAGCAAATCCTAAGAAAGTCATCACTATTGACCCACCCTCCGTGACTCAAACATACGGCACCCAGCCTTCACACGAAACAGAAAACCCCGTTGACATTGCTATATTCGGAGAGACAGTGAAAGCCCCCCTGGGGTCCTTTGTCTATGGTAGAGCTGGCGATAAAGGTGCCAACTGCAATGTGGGCTTTTACGTGAAACACCAAGATGAATGGGACTGGTTGAGGGCGTTCCTCACAACTGACAAGGTCAAAGAGTTGCTGGGCCCTATTGAGTATTCGGGAAACCCAATCGACCGATTCGAGATCCCTGGTGTAAGAGTGGTGCATTTCTTGCTGCATGACCATCTTGATCGGGGTTATAATTCATCTTCAAGTTGTGATGTTTTGGGAAAGAATACGTGCGAGTTTCTGCGGTCGAATACAGTTGATGTTCCTAAGGTGTTTTTGCAGCGTTGTTAGGTTAGTTTTGGCTGATTTGGTATGCTGCAGCTACCTATGATAGATTTATGTTATGCCATACGTATCATTCGGATTTTGGAAGGACTCTTGAAACGACTCTGCTAGTATCAGGCTACTAGACAGTGTAAATGGACTGTTGTTTGATCAGAAACTGGGCCAAATATATGTCTGCTAGGATCCAATAGTGAGGGGATGGTGGAGATATATATTCCCGGTATTGTCTGGCAGCACATCTGATCAGCTTCAGTTGAACTTGCTGTTTTGAGTAGCACTAATAGTACTACTTACTACGGTGGATTCACCTTTTCATTATTGTTTTTACTAATATATTGGAGATTAACGTGCTGCTCTCCAGTTCTTGGAAACAGGCATTCTCCTTTTGGAAACATGATACGTCCTTTGTGAGGTCCCTTCCAGCAGTACGGTATTGTCATTCACATGTCATGGAGGACTTGGAGTGAGATCCTACGGTATCGATTGGATGTAGTTTAGAAAAAAAAAACAGAAGACGTACTGTGCTGTCAAGTACAATATGCAAAACACGGTCTGTAGCAAACTATTCAACGATTCTGTGAGTACCACAGTCCCTACGCTATTGTTCAGTGGTGGCTTCTGAATAGTCATGATAGGTTCAGTGACTACGGTGTACAGAGTTGGCTGCATATAAATAATTCAAAAACCTGCTAGAGGTCCATTTCAATTGGGCAGGCTCAATCCTTGCTTCGCACACAACTGTAGGATAAGACCACAAGTGTCAAGTGTCGCAAAAAGGTATGCATAATGTATCCCCGTATTGGGCCTTAGATGTTACAAGAGGGCGACGAAAATTCATCTCTGCCCTTATCCAGCTCCCAAACTCCGTGCTCAATGGCGAAAAAACAACTTCGGGCGAGGTGATACGTGAAAATTGAGGATTAAGTGCCAGGTGATCGCAGATCGAATGCTGGATTTATGAGATCATGGGGTCGATATCCCCATTATTGGTCATTACGGTGTCGTTAGAGCCATTGTGACTGGCACTGGTCGAACTGGCCAGGGGATTACTGTTGTGGGTGTTGGGATTATCGCCCAGTCCAAGGTCCAGCTTCTCGGGTATATCCTTCTTAGCCTCCCGGGCTTTCTGTTCAGCCCACGCGCGCAGTTTAACTAAGTTGCGTAGCCGGGCCTCTTTACGAGCGCCTTGATTCAACAGAATGGCTTCGTTGACGCGGTTGGCAATATCCTTACGAAGGTCGGGGTGTAGTAAAGGGGCAAGTGGCGGGGACAGGCTATCCGCCGGGAATATTAAGAGAGCAAGAGTCCTCTCAAGGTCCTCAAGGAACTGGGGGTTGGTGGGTGCCCGCGGTGCAAGTTGCGAGCTCGCAAACTCAAGGGCAGGGCTGACGTCGCCATCGGGGGAAGAGATGCACGAGCGAATCAACTCCACCAGCTGCAGTCGCAGCAATGCGAAATGTAAAGGAGCATTTTCATCTAGGATCTAAGCCGGTCAAGTCAGCAAAAGGCTATGAAATAGGCGTGATGACAAGTAACGGCATGTTTTATTCTTGCTGCTCATACTGAGGACTGAAGATGTTTGTTTATCAACAAACCCCAAAAGGGATGTTCTGAGTGGTGCATGAAACGTCGTATAATCCTTGCAACGAGGGTGGTGGGTAGGGGATGAGATAGAAGAGGTGTCTTACCTGTGGGTTGAGCTCATTGATCTTCTCAATGGCGACCTGAATATTCCCAGAATGGATCGCAGTTCGAATGTCAACTCTTTCTTGAATCGACTCGATATCTGCCCTGGGTTGGATGTTGGCCTCTACTGAGAATTTCTTCGCAGCAGCTGGGTAGCCATTGGTGATGAGGTAATCCATGACTAGATAATTGATATCACTTCAAGAGAACAGTTAGCAGCTGCAGACCAACCGGTAAACTTGATGATGATAAGGCAAAATCAAACGAAGGGTTCAGAAACACAAGTTAATATATTCTCCTCAGTTGTTTTTCAGAGAGATTCCCAACTTGATTTCAAGGTACATCATGCAATCGTGGCGCGCAACGGAAAGGTGGGGTAAATCACTCACGTTTTGGATGGTTTCACCTCCTCAACCTTCCGTTCGAACTGATGCCATGTTGGCGTCGTCGAGGAAGAGGGAGACATCTGCTTCCCGTTAAAACCAGGCAACCACGCGGCACACACGGCATGTCAGGGCGCATACGTAATTGGCAGAGGACATGGTGAAGAGCTTAGTGGATGCGGAATTTCGCAGTGGGATGTCAAGTGACCTGGTAGCGAGCAACAGGCCGTCTGTGAAGATGGAAAGCTTCGCAGACGGGAGCCATTAGGATGCTCGGGGCAGAAGGGAGTGAGTGAAGAGAAGGAGAGAAGAAGAAAAAGAAAAGGCGGGAAGGAAGAGCTCTTTAAAGGAAGAAAAAGCGGCGGGTGTTAGGTCACGTTCACCAGCTAAGCCTAAAGCCGCAAGCGAAGGTCACGGCCCCCGCCTAGGCCCGATTGGGGAAAGCGCCGATCACTTGGTCCCTTTTGGATTTGGAGTGTATCGCCGAAGTCTCTCTTATCGGTGTTCCAAAGCTTGTGTCGCCGGCGCTTCTCTGCTGCTGGTGTCCCACTGAGTTTTGCTTTTGTCCTCCCCCCTCCAGGTTATGATTAGGCCGGCCTGTCACTAGTCCCTCTCGTTTCGGCAGGTCAGTTCCTCGGTGAGGGTCGGCAAGATGCAGTCAATCTCCCCTGTATACTCGTCCGCGACAGACAGACGCTACTCTCCACCATGGGCGGATTTGAGTATCATCGGTATCGCAGGCAGCTCCGGCTCCGGCAAGACTTCGGTGGCCATGGAGATTGTGAAGTCTCTGAATCTTCCCTGGGTTGTGATTCTCGTAATGGTATATGCGACCGCTTTCATAATTGTTTAGCCTACATTAGATCCTTCCACTTCGTGTTCTCTAACGGCGGTGTGGTATAGGACTCCTTCTACAAGAGCTTGTCCCCGGAGGATCATGCCAGAGCCCACCGCAATCAATATGACTTTGACTGTCCGGAGTCTCTGGACTTTGATGTCCTGGTCCAAACCTTAAGGGATTTGAAGCAAGGGTATGGTATATGAGCCTCTTTCTGTAATTCCTGGTGGGGCACGTGCCATATATGGAAGCTGACAGGATCCCTTCCAACCATCTAGAAAGAAAGCAGATATCCCCATTTACTCGTTTGCAGAACACCAGCGTCAGCCAGAAACGAGTACCCTGTATTCCCCGCGCGTATTGATCCTGGAGGGTATTCTGGCCTTGCATGACCCGAGGATCATGGAGCTTCTGGATGTTAAGGTAAGTTTCGTCCGCCTTCCTAATCTGGACCATCGCTCACTCTTCTTGATAGATCTTTGTTGAAGCAGACATGGATGTCTGCCTTGGGCGCAGAAGTCAGTTTAGCCTACTCTTCAACCATTTGCCACTGCTCTAACGGAGAGGAAGCTAGTCATGCGCGATGTTCGTGAGAGAGGAAGAGACGTCGAAGGAATCGTCAAGCAGTGGTTCACTTATGTGAAGCCATCATACAAGCAATACGTCGAACCCCAACGTGCTGTGTCTGGTATGTGGATGTTCTCCAAAACTTGAACCGGGTCTGACAAGCTTCAGACATTATTATTCCCCGTGGTATTGAAAACCGAACGGCCATTGGTAAGAGTGTCTGCTCCTTCTTTCGGAAGATCTCACACTAATTTCTGCTGGAGAAATGGTTGTGCAACATATTCAGCGCAAGCTTGACGAGAAATCAGAGAAGCATAATGCAGAGCTCAACCGGCTTGGTCTCATCGCCTCGGAAGAGCAGCTATCTTCTAACGTCTTGATGATGCCCCAAACGCCGCAATTTGTTGGCATGAACACTATCCTCCAGGACCCGGCAACGGAACAAGTTGACTTTGTGTTCTACTTCGACCGACTTGCTGCTTTACTGATTGAAAAGTGAGTTATGTTGCTATCCTTTGCGAACATCGCGTGATACTGTGGAACAATAGCTTATGCGTAACTTACTGCACAGGGCCTTGGATATGACCAATTACGTATCACAAGCAGTGGATACGCCTCAATCGACTAGCTATGATGGCCTGAACCAAGCTGGTGTAGTGTCTGCCGTCGCGATTCTGCGTGGAGGCTCTTGCCTCGAGACCGCTCTCAAGCGGACCATCCCTGACTGCATCACTGGTCGTGTGCTGATCCAGACCAATGAAAAGAACGAAGAACCCGAACTTCACTACCTGAAGCTCCCTCCCAATATTGAGAACCACGAAAACGTCATGCTCCTCGACCCCCAGATGTCCAGTGGAGGAGCTGCTCTAATGGCGGTTCGTGTTATGATTGATCACGGTGTTCAAGAGGATAAGATTATTTTCGTGACCTGCGCTGCAGGAAAGATCGGATTGAAGCGACTGACGACAGTGTTCCCTGGAATCAAGGTTATAGTTGGACGGATTGAGGAGGAGCGCGAACCTCGGTGGATTGAGAAGAGATACTTTGGCTGTTGAGTCATGGTCGCAATTTAAACCTGGACTACATAAGCTATTGTGGGAACGGGCTTATATATACGCATCTCACTATACATACGTGATATAACAGAAAAAAATTCTATAAAACACAATATGAGCATGTGCTGGCACTGCAGTAGACGACGGAGTTAACCTGAACCTTCGGAGAAACGCACGGACCACATCCAAGGCTCGCCGAAGAATCTTTGGTTCCGCCGCCAGAAAATTATCCATGATCATCACTTTTTCAGCAAACATCCTAGAACCAATCCACTCTTCTTCTATTTCCAGAGGGTGCTCAAATATCTTTTTCCTACTCACCCTATAAGAATTACCTTCCATTGCCGACAGGCGTGTCACCATGCCTGACCACAAAAAGAAAGGCAAGAAGAGCGGCGCCGCCAAAAATGACTCCGGCTCGGTGATCAGTACGTACCTCACGATCAACCCATTCTACCTTCTCAAAATGAAATGTTACACATGATTAACCTATAATCTTTCTGTACAATCAGCCGATCCCAGATTCGCCAACATCCAAACCGACCCTCGCTACCGTCTTCCCAGCAAACGCCAAACTCATGTAAAGCTCGACAAGCGATTCGCGCACATGCTGCGCGACAAGGATTTCTCCCGCAATGCCGCAGTCGATAGATACGGCCGGAAGCTCGCCAGCGACGACACTAAGAAACAGCTTGAGCGATTCTACCAGCTGGATGAGGATGCGCAGGAGGGAGAAGAAGAAGAGGAAGAAGGCGAGGGAGAGGAAGATGATGGTCTCGAGGACGCTAGCGTTGCAGATGATGAGGAGGTGCTTAGAGAGCTGAGGAAGGCGGAGACATACGATCCAGCCAGAGATGGAGGATTCGATGAGTCTTCTTCCTCGGAGGAGGAGAGCTCCGACGAGGAAGACGAGGATGAAGAGGAGTTCGAAGGGTTTGGCGAGGAGCTGGAATATCCTGATAAGCACCGCGCGGATGTGCCGACTGGTGATGTTACGGACCGCATTGCGGTGGTGAATCTCGATTGGGATAATATTCGCGCGGAGGACCTGATGGCTGTCTTTTCCAGCTTTGCGCCGACTGGTGGGAAAGTGCTGAAGGTGGCTGTTTATCCTAGTGAGTTTGGCAAAGAGAGGATGGAGAGGGAGGAGACGGAGGGGCCGCCCAGGGAGATTTTTGCGTCGAAGAAGGGTGGTGACTCCGACGATGAGGATGAGATGGATTCTGATGAGGAGGAAGAGAATATCAGGAAGTCTATGCTGAAGGAGGATAAGGGCGAGGAGTTCAACTCGACACAGCTACGGAAGTATCAGTTGGAACGGCTACGTTACTTCTACGCTATCTTGACTTTCTCGTCCAGGGACGTTGCGAAGCACGTTTATGACCTTGTCGATGGCGCCGAGTACTTGTCTAGCGCTAACTTCTTCGATCTTCGCTTTGTGCCTGAGGACACCGATTTCTCTGATGATACGCCCCGCGACGAGTGCGAACGCATCCCCGATGGATACCAGCCGAACGAGTTCGTCACCGATGCGCTGCAGCACAGCAAGGTCAAGCTGACCTGGGATATGGAGGATAAGTCGCGTAAGGAAGCCCAGGCTCGGGCCTTCCGGGGTAGTCGCAAGGATATCGACGAGAACGACTTGAAGGCTTATCTGGCCAGTGATAGCTCAGACGATGAGGAAGATGAGGGTGGTGTGGAGATTGTTGATACTACGCGCGGCGATGGAGAAACGAAAAAGGTGTCTAAGAAGGAGGAGGAGAAACAACGCCTTCGAGCCCTACTTGGTCTTGGTGCGGAGCCTACGCCTTCGTCCAAGTCCGATGGCCCCGTTGGCGAGATGGAGGTTACCTTCACTTCCGGTCTGGCTGGTGGCCCCAAGGGCGACAGCATCTTCGAGAACGAACCCGAGAAGGATGAGACTACGATCGAGAAGTACATCCGCAAAGAGCGTGAGAGAAAGAAGCGCAGAAAGGAGAAGCTCAAGGCCACCAAGCGTGGTGAGGATGGCGAGCAGGACGAGGCCGCTGATGCCTCGGATGCTAAGGAGCAGCCCCAGCAGGACGACTTGGGCTTTGATGATCCCTTCTTCGATGACCCCACTGGCAAGGCTACTGAGGCTGCTCGTCGTAAGGAAGAGAAGCGCAAGAAGCGGGAGGAGCGTGCAGCGGAGGAAGCCGCGGCCGCAGCCAAGCGGGCGGAGCTGGAGCTGCTCATGATGGAGGACAACAACAAGCCGGGCATCAAGCACTTCGATATGAACGAGATTGAAAAGGCGGAGAAACAAGCTCGCAAGAAGGGCAAGAAGGGCAAGGGTAAGGGCAAGCAAGTCGAAGTTCCCACAGATGATTTCGAGATGGAAGTCACCGATCCTCGTTTCGCTCGACTCTACGAGAGCCACGAGTTCGCGATCGATCCCACCAACCCCCGATTCAAGGCGACTTCGGGTATGAAGGCACTGTTGGAGGAGGGTCGCAAGCGACGCAGGGATCGGGATGAACATGCAGACGAGGAGGATGCTCTTCGTGAACAAAAGAAGAAGCAGAAGAAGAGTGCGTCCAAGGAGGGCGGGTCAGACGATCTGAAGAAGCTGGTTGAAAAGGTGAAGCAAAAGACCAAACGCAACTGATTGGGTTGTACTATATTTAGATGACTACTACTACTTACTGTTCCTACTACTCATCTATCATGAAAGCGTCATCACTGGGATGAGGATGCAGATACCATTGGCTAAAGGTTCTTGTGTGTTAATTGAGAGAATTTGAGCGTCTGCCTGTGATCTGGACGGCAATGTCATTGTGTGTTCCTTGTGTACCCCTGCACTGTAGCTGCTGTAATATTATTTCGACCTGTCGCTGTGGCTCTCATTAGTCCAGGCCACTCTTCCCCCAGATTCCACCATGTCCGACCCATGACGGGCGTAGGCGAGTAATGAAACGCAGTGTATAGATCCGGCATTCACGGAGGAAAACCTGGTGAATCAGAGTGTGTTGAGCGGGCTTGCAATCCCGACTGGCGCAGATTCCCGCCCAAACGCTGCCTGGCCCATGCAGCATGAGGTGATTGTGTGACGGATTCGGCCGTGTGCAGGGGGGCAGTCGAGCGCTGACAGGCCCAAAAGGCCGTGAAGTTGCAGGCGATCGGCCGCGATGAGATGAGGCTGAGATCATGTGCGGTGCGGCCAGCTTCACCGCCCTTTCGGGATCTCGTCGCTCCTCTTCCCTTTCGCTTTCCTTCTCCAATATTCCCCTCCTCCTCCCTCTCCTCCCTCCCTCTTCTTTCCCCTTCCCCTCCGGCCAATTCATTGAACCCCCCCGGGCCCTGCCAATTCATTCCCACTTGTTTGCGTCTCCCTCCGCAGTGGGAAACTCGATTTAATTGCATCTGGATCGATTGGCTTCGATCCCATCCCCAGTCACTTGATTCTTTCCGGCCCAATTGCGGCTGACTAACCCCCTTCTGGACACGGGCAGTCACTATTACCACTAGTTCACTTCTACTACTTCCTTTTACAACTACTTACTTTACTTCACTTACTACTCCTATTGCTGTCTATCCCTCTGCAAGTGGGCGTGTCTGGCCTCCACCGTGAAAGAAGGCGCCCTCCCCCGATCATCACTTCTGGATGGCTTGATCATGGTTAACATTCGGCGGGATTGAACGATGGGTGCTGCAGCTCAGTCTAGTATATCTGTCTGAGTGTTGTTTTCTTGCCTTGATTTCCTAGCTTAATCATTTACTGTTTGCTTTTTTGTCTCGAGTGCTCAGGCTTACCTTGTTCCGAATTGCCAACATGCTGGGTCGACTGTTGAGCACTGCCGCGGCTACTCTCAATCCGGCGACCTACAACGCCAAAAACGCTCATCAACTAGAGTCCGTCACGGAGGAGGAACATACATCCGGCTTACTATTCCCCGATGCTAGTCTTCTCCGACATTCCCATACGCACGCATATCCGCTGCATACTGCCTACAATTCACCGAACGCTTCTACGGCTGGTGCCTATGATGATCGCGGCGGTGTCGAGTTGGACCCGTTGAAGGATTTCCGGGTGATAATAGCACAAAATGCGCTGGGAGATCGGGACGCTTGTGTCCTGTTGGACACACGCGCCAGTTCGCAGGATCAGACTTCCATGGGACTTGGGTTGGAACCTCAGGTGTTTGACAATACCACCGGTGCGAGACATGCCCGTACGGTTTCAAATCTTACCCGTGGAACACGGCGGGGCTATTTGTCTCAGTCGTCGGCTGCAGAGCCAAGCCCACTCTCTGTCGCTGCGGAGGCACGGAGGTCACCTCCCATGTCGTCTGGCGCTTTCATGAGGGCTCGTGGTCGTAGTTCCACCTTATCGCCGGCGGGAAGCTATAATGAACCTGGCCACCCTCGCTATGCTGCGGACTCGAATGACACGGGTCTGTTGAATTGCATTTTCGGCAGCAGTGCGTTTAGCTATAGGGGATCGTCGACGAAGATGCATATCATCTCTGCCGATGATGAACCGGGCAAAACTGC